GCGGACGGCCAGGCAGTGACCGGTGTCGCTGAGTCGATGGTTATTGGACGGCCAGGCAGCGGACCGGTGTCGTTGAGTCGGTTGGCGTGGACGGGCCAGGCAGTGACCGGTGTCGTTGAGTCGGTTGGCGTGGACGGCCAGGCAGTGACCGGTGTCGTTGAGTCGGTTGGCGGACGGCCAGGCAGTGACCGGTGTCGTTGAGTCGGTTGGCGTGGACGGCCAGGCAGTGACCGGTGTCGTTGAGTCGGTTGGCGTGGACGGCCAGGCAGTGACCGGTGTCGTTGAGTCGGTTGGCGTGGACGGCCAGGCAGTGACCGGTGTCGTTGAGTCGGTTGGCGTGGACACAGACGCAATAACCGGTGTCGTTGAATCAGCCGATAATATGACAATCAGGACAGCAACCAACTGAACCAACCCAATAAAAATCAGGAGGATAACAGCCAAAAATGCCACTCGAAGCTGTTGGTGTTTGAGCATGATGCCGTCGGCTTAAAGAGAGCAACAATGGAATGGCCGCATAGTCCGGCCTAATTTTGGCTTCATGAAATTGTCCCGCAATAGATATTGAGCGGCTCCGTCGAACGATCGTTTAAGTTACATCTGTTTTTGCGTGGGCATTTACTAGTGTTATTTATACTTCTATCAATCTGGACGTTAAGATTTTCCATAAATGCCTCATGTTGGGTAATGTGTACCGATTGTCAAATATGTTGGTGCATTTGTGCATTAAGTCACATCACGTAACTATTGTCTACTCCGAGTGGTCGGTCGTTCGGCACCAAAAGAAAATGGTTTTGGGTAAAACCGGTTTGCGCAATGCAGAAGGTGCCCATTGATGCGCTGCTTGCTAACATTTCCACTATTCAGATGCAAATCGCAGTTGCATCTGGATGTGGTTAGATCACTTAGAGGGAACTGAAGCGTAATGGCGTGTTGACTGCATGCAAATGAAAACTGCGGTATTACGAACAACCAACCGGCGATGCTGGTCGTATTAAAAAACACAAAATTATTTGTAATGTAGAACTGTAAATTGTGTTCTAAAGAAGAACTCTCTACTCTCGTAACTGATAACTCCCAATCATTACAGGAACAATGCAACGGTGAGAAAAGCGAAGAAAGCTAAAGAATTTTACGAGTAGATGGTAGAATTTCCAGAAATATTTAAGTGCTTTAGACAATTCAAAATGCGGATACACAGCAAATGTCGGCAGAATGCTTTGAAAAATTCCTTAAGTTGCAGCACGACTGCGAAAACTTTGAAAGACTTCATAATGCCTCACACCTGCACGATTCACCCGCAAGAGCGTTTAAATCAAATGCATCAAGTGCCATAATAGCATAAGCACCAAATGTCATTTCGGTTTCAGTTTAAATATATTGTTTTTAGAATGCCCATTCGCAAAATAATTTGAAATTATTCTATTACAGTAATTCCAAATTATTAATTTGGTGAAGGCTCCGCAAACCGCCTTTATACCACCGTTCAGTTTTTCGAACTAACTTTTTTGGCATTGGTTAATATGAGCTCTATGTAGCATTTAATTAAGCCCATGGGCTTATGTTTCGGGGGAGCTTATAACTTTCAAACGACCTTAAGGGTGGGCTCTAATTACGGGGGGAGCTTCTATTTCGGGGGGAGCTCATAATTCGATAATTACGGTATACTGGAAAATCAAAATGTACGGGATGGGATGCCTTGCACTGCTGCGTAAGACGTGAATGTGACCATTCTGCCCTGTATAAGTTTCTCTTGGGGCGGTATGCTGCACAGCCGTTAAGAAGAATCGGCTTGCTCTGTCTAAGCTGCTTTTTCAGCATAAATCTGTCGCTTGTCTAGTGCGAGCTGGCCTTATTCACCATTAACTGTTCGATGCGATCAGATGCACCCAGCGGTGACCTTACTTAGCATGTCCAGCCGTGACCGGTGGGTAATTGTAGTTTCAAGCGCACATGTGACATGACACAACTGCAGCCATGTGCAACTTGTCAATGCAGTGTTCCTGTTTTGTCCTCCGTTGTCGTTCTGTTGCTGTAGAGGGATGCAATTTGCAAACAGAGTATTCTGTATTCCAGCTGATTTAAGGTCGGCATAAAGATGTCAGAAGGGGTCGGATCCGCTGACATTAGGGTAGGCGCTGCGCTGATACCCAACCACCGAAAGGTCACCTGTCGGCTGTCCTCTAACGGAATTGCCAGCGTCACCTCGCGCATCTTTCTTTGCGTGTGCTTGTCTGGTATAAGCATGATTCCGATCAGGTGTTACAACATGCGGAAGCGGCCTCGAGGAAAACGCAATGTATTCATAAATCCAGCTCAATTAAATACGAGTAAGCAACAATTCGAGGCACCAACAAAGAACAGAAAACGGCAACAAATCTAACGACGGTACCCAATGGCAACATAATATTGGTGCTGGTAACCAGAAGGGCAGGGTGTAAAAGGTGGCAGTGGCACTCACACTGGCATTGCCACTGGCAATGGCATGCGCCATTTCGCGACTGGCAAGCGGTAAACTTGGCACAATTTTCAGGAATGCAGAAACAGCTAGAGATGATTTCGCGACCATGAAAATTCAATTTATATCGAAACAAATTTCGACGTCAGTGATGCCACTTATTTTTGCATACCCGGGCATAAGACCTGTACTGTGTCTGTCAACACAGTGAGCGCTGCAACACCGTACAATGTTCGAAGTTATTACAAAAGTGGGGTATGAACTGTAGCAAATGCACCCACTCACCTAGCTGCATGCATCTGCCACACGTAGCTTCAGTTCACGTGGCAGATGCAGTCATTCCGTACGTTAATCTCAAGTTATCCTTCTCTATGTAGTCACCGTCTCATCGGTAAACTGCATGGTCACTTCGAGTTTGTTAGTATTTCTAGGTTATTTAGGTTTCGTTGGTTTCTTAGATTTCTTAGGATTTATTTCTTAGATATAAATTTCTGATGTGACGTGAGCTATGGTTCGAAAATTGACGGTTGCAAACCGTACCATATAGATATCGGCTAATGAAAGTATTCAAAGTTGAAATGCAAAAATTGCATTTAAGTTCAGTTTGTATGTGGCAAAGTGTTCATTTCGGGCAGACATGGTAAGTCGTAGAGTGTTTTCGTCGTAAAATCTGTGCCCGGCACCCGGCTACCAAAACAATGGTACGGTTGAGGCTGATTTTGTTATATCCCAGGCCACAGAGTTTTGAATTGTCTCATTTTCGAATCTGGGTATCATAGATTACAAATACTTCTAGTAAGAACATAAGCAGTTCCTTTTGTAACTGCGATTTTGTAGTACGGATCTACGATGACGATTCTGTAATTCTACCACATCAGACGCAGAAGATGTCCATGAAAATCTAGTAATGAGTGAAGTTGAAAATAAGAACGGTATTTTTAGTAATCTGATGATTGCAGTTTTATAATTTCTTTAGTTACTATAAAACATAGCTTTTCAGCGGTTGCCAGTTGCCATGTTTTACCGCTTGCCACTACGCTGCCAGTGCCAGTGACAATTGCCAGTGGCAAGTGCCACTGCCACCTTTTACACCCTGCCTTCGTCGAGGGTGGTGCTGCAGTTCAAAGGTTTCCTCTGGAGAAAGATCAGCTGCAGTAGCATCTGAGCAATAACCGCCGATACGTACTGGAGACCCACGGCCGCTGTACTGTGGTCAGCATCCATCCAGATTACACCGTCTTCATCGAGAGCGTCATTGAAATTTAATCGCGAGGCCAGCCGCTCAACTCCGGGTATGTGGCTCACTTTCTTTTCAATGACCAAGTTCCCGACGACAACGATAATTTGTGCGGCCAGGCGCCGATCAGTCTCCTGGTCCACCGCAAGTTGCACTAGCGTCAGGAGGGTCTTTTGTGAACTGCTGTCAGTGAAGGTGAATTTCGGTTGGCTAAGTGTTTTAAGGACAATTCCAATGATATTCTCTGCATACATTTTTCGAAGCGATTCACAGTCTTTCCTGTTCCAGCTAATCAGAAAAAACAAAAACGTGAGACGACATAATATGGACACCCCTTTCACCCCCCGTTTCTGCGGATTTCGCGGATCTGCACCGCAGCTCTGCTGGCTGCAGATTCCGTTTATGCCGGCAGACTGGTTTGTGGTGTGGCGGCAACATCACCAATGGTGTCGATGTTTCCGGGTTGTTCCGTCGAGGGTGCACGGTCCTCTAGCCAGTGCCGTGTGACACCACTAATGTAACATATATTCTTCGTCTGGAATTTTATGCTACCCCAGGGGCGTCGGTGCCCCCATGGGGCACCGAACAACTTTAAACCCTGAACACCCCCGGACCTTGACCAAGAAACCCCGTACCGAGAGTGTTCAGAGTCGGGAGGTTCCACTGTATTGGTATGCTGTCAACAAAACGCACATTATAGGCGGAGATTGAGCAAGATGCTCGATAGCGTGTGCTAGATTTTCAGTGAATTTTTCACAAAATTTCTTCTGCGTGCGGCGCCGTGGTAGCCCCATTTCAACATCTAACGCTCAGCTGTGCAACTTGACTTAATCATAGCCGGCTTAATTTCCGGTCTGCACTCCGCTACAGGGGTTGGGGTATTGATGTTACTATTACCGCAGCGGATTTCTTATGCGAAGTTTTTAAGAAAGGTTTCCAGAACGCGAAAAACATCATATTAAAGCAGGAATTGTCTTACTTGTAATATAATGACGAGGATTCTTTAAACGTGGTCAGCAGGCTCAGAGTTCCCGCTGATACAGCTCTGGGAATCTGGTTGGGCGCATTTGCCAAGAAGTCGTTCAGGATAGCGGCCACCTAGGAAGCAATTTTTAACCCGTACTGGCCTCTGTTCCGGCCGGTCAAGATATCAGCCAATGTTGACGAAAAAGACAGATTTTTTTCTAAATTTAGAGCACGAACGGGATGGACCACTTGCTCCCAGATATATTCGATGCTCTCTCGGATGATTTCATCCTGTTCTCCCTTTGCATGATGCAGTATCTCCATGGCTGCGGCAAAATTGGCTTGTAAATTGTTGTCGTCTTTCTTCAAAATAACCCACAACGTCTTCTTCATATCGCGCGTACATTCAGTGCTCTTCGTCTGAAATTTGAGCAGTATTTTTGCGACATTCTCCGATAATTTCCCATTATTTCGCTCGGCGCAGAGCTTATACATTTTAAGAAACTTTAACCGGCAGTCATCGTAGCCTTTGTCCAGTGACGCGGCAAACGCTGACTTAGCCAGATCGAGTTGCGTGGCATCCTCCACGACCTGGTTTTTAGCGATGATGGAAAAAGTCATAGCAATATTTGCAAAAGTCGTCATGCGGCTTTCCCACAAATTCCCAACGTAACCATTGCAAAATTTGTCTTTTAGATACACGATGTCATCCTGACAGACAGCCATATTCGCCTGTGCGCGGGCCGACAGATTATTGACTTCTTGCGCAGTGGTGCGAAAGTACGAACGGACACTGCTGCCCTTGTTGCTCAGCGCCGGGTTGATTTCCATTTTCTGAACGTTTCCACGGCTGCTGGCGCGGCTACTGTTCAGCGCTTTGGCCAAATCAATCTGCTGTAATTCCGTTTTCTCCGACATGTTCTCCTTGTACACCGTGGTGACGGTTTGTTGGGACTTCACAGCGTCCGCTTTCACCGCATTTTTTCCCGTGCACACGTATCGTCCAAGCATTTCCTGCCCGCTCGCAATCAGCCGACCGCTGGACCAGTTGCTTGTTTCACAGACCAGGTCCATCGGTGCGACTGCAGGCGGCTTCCCAATATTTGCCGATAATGGTATACCACGTGCCTGCAACGTATCTTGCAAACGGGTTTTCGTATCACCATTTACAGCTGGAATGTATTTAAATGCAAGTTTGACCAAACGATCCAGGTCGGCTTCATCACCAGCACTGCAGACACTGATCTTCAGGATGAGACACTGCACCAGCTGCGAAACGGTTTCGCGAGTGTGCAAGGGTTGGTCGCCAAGGGCATCCGTGGCGTCTGCATTCAGCACGGCAAAGAGAGCTGCTATAATTTCGTCCGCTTTGATACTCGATGGATCGTGTTTTAAACAGTATTTCAGGCACTGTGCGATCTGCTGGTTAAGGAAAGCTGTGCTAGAACTATCCGGCTTATTATCCGGCACTGAGTGTAAGTTTGAAATTATATACTTCACCATCGACGATGAAAGACCATGCCGTCTTGCCAAATACTTAAGGGAGGAAACTACCGAAACGCTCGCTTCCCCTACAGGGAAGTGCTCCATCAGATTTGCTGTCTTTCCCAATCTCTTACATTCTTCTTGGAGTTTTAAATGCACAGCCGTTGAATCGGGGTCGTGAACATATTCCAAGAAGACAGCTTTCATTGTTGCCGCGCCGACGGTAACAGTGGATCGTTGGGTCGCTACACAGAAAAATTAAGCACTGACCACTGTACTGTATTCAAAGACTGTTAGTATACACCACAGCGCTGTCAAGTGTACTCGTATTTCGGTTTTACTGGTTAGTTATAGCCAGTAATAATCAGATAAGCACCCCTTTTGGCTGCAAAAAACTCAGTATGGCTGGTTATATGTATACATGGTTCTACGATTTCAAGGTGGCGGCATAATACATTTATTAGGAACCGCCACTGAGGGCGCAAACAACCAACCGATTATTGTCAAAAGGACAACAGGGGCATACTGCTATCGCAGTTGCCTTGCCAGACGAACAGTACAAAGAGGTCACTAATGGACAACACATTCTCGTGGCATCAGTTCCACTGCACTACGCCCCACATTTTATACGTATAAGAGACCCGAGGAAGTCTATTATGTGCTTAAATGATGCATGCGCGCTTTCATGCCTCACAATGTTCATTTAAATAACCCAAAAAATTCGTTTATTTACATGTATGCGCAAGCATCCCAGAGACGGCAGCGGCTGGCTAAACGGCTGACCTTTCGACTGACGGCCGTCTAAAGTCCTTAATCAATGCTGCTTGAATTCTCAGCCGGCTAGAGCGGCCAACCGAAATTCCCAGCCAGCTTGGCCGTTAATTTTAATGTGATTTTTAAATATTAATGGTAATATTATAATTTTATTGTACTACTATGTGATTTTTATTAGCTCAAGCCAGTCGCATCACAAGTTTGTAACAAAAACAGGATTAATATCATTAATTACAACAGAAAAACTTCTCTTAAATTCTCTGTTCCATCAATAATCCCAAGAACAGAAACTACGTTCCTCTTTGAATTTCAGTCGATAGACGGTGGCGTAAGAATTCGTGTGACCGAGGTTCACAAGTGTGCTGATGTAGCCGCTTTCCGATTTCCTTCACTAAAAGGGATGCTAATTTCCCCCAAGGACCGAAAGTTTCGAAGGAAAGTGGGGCAAAGATGTACCTGCCGTCGAGGTACGCGTACAAGCTGATTTTCTTGTCGACTTCGGCTTGGGCAGCGGCAGACCCAGCGGTGGCCGAAGTCGATTTGATATGCGATGGGGCGACATTATCATCGCAGGTAACGTCTCATGCTAAACACATGCCACGCTTCCAAGCAAAAGTGGTGCATCCGTCCGGACGGCGACCTGATGCATGGGATGTGCCGCGGGGTTCAAGCTTCGCTGGTATGCTAGCCGAAACCAAGGATCGGCACACTATACTGTTCAAACCGCCGGGGCGGGCATGCCTTCCCGCGGAAAAGGCGCATGACAGTCCGTGATGGCCGTACACGTCGACTGGTTTATGGCATTTTGGGCAGGAGTGTGCGTGCACTAATATTAGATTTGTGTACTACTACTGAGCATGGATTTTGTGTACTACTATTAGTACTATTATGTAAATTGTAAATACAAGTAGTGCCATACAGGCGTACTACTAACGGTTAACAGGAAGCCCTGCCTGCGAATCAGCGGCAACATTTTATGATTATTTTCATAGTTTAACTACAGCCAGGGAGTCAACAATTCTGTACCAACTCCTAAAACAAAGACTGGTATGAGTAGCTCCTCTTCCTAATCTGTTACGAACGTCGGTTAAAAAATTTCCCGATTTCGAGAACGCCCGTTCGGACTGAGCTTGGATGAGCAACTTTCATGCTTGACATACGCCCTAAAGCGCAGCAGCCCGGTACACGAAGCGCGCCTGCGTGTCGCAGATTATTGCGATGGCGTTAAGTGAACCACAATACCACCGCACAAGCTGCTTCAGCCGAGTCGGCCGTCGGCTAGGTCGCGTCTGATCGAAGTCCTCAGCCGGCTTAAACAGCTAGCGCAAGGTAAGCGCGTCAACGGAGCAGATAAGAGCAAAACAAAATTGTCCGAATTGTTTTGCATCGATGCATAAAACTAGGTATGTACGTATTTCAGTGTCTGCGATAGTATTCTCTTTTATACAGTATTTTCGCACCATAATTGGCATAAAGTAGTTATATGAGCACCTTTGTTTTGTTTAAGTGTTTGCAAAATGTACGAGTAGTAAGTAAACGAGTTGCAAGTGTGCACTTTGCACTGACGACACCCGAATATTCGCAAATAGCTAGTATTAGCAAATATATGAACAATGCGGTCGGCTGGTTTGTTGCAGAGAAAATCAAGTAGTGCCTTTATGTTCAAACATTAACATTTGAAGAAATTTTGTTATGCAGAGTCTCAGTTTTCCTTGTTATCTATAAGGACCAAGAGCGATAAGCAGCCCTTGCGACACGCTTATGGCATAATGGCCTTATGACTGATTATGCGTTTGCGCAAAGAAATGGGCCATTTACCGTGCACCTGTGTGTCAACACAGTAAACACTCAAGGCAAAACTTTATTTACAAACTATAAAGTTTTCTGCCTTGGCGCATAATAGTAAATACCACATATTCTATCAGGCGCCAGTGAATACTGTTGGCTGCGCTTTATGTCCACAATGCCGTCTGTGTTCCAGTGCAAGTAAATAGCGACATATCTGTAAAAGTCGGGAACTATCGCCAAATTTGGAGTAAGAAACAACTTTTTTAGCCTGGTGCTAATTTCTCATACGGGGAGGTGGTTACGTTGAAACCGGCCTAGCTGCATTAGCAGCTGAAAGCACAGTTTACTTCTTTCAATACTTTATGAAACAGCGATTCGCAGTTATTGTTATGATTAGGTATAATTATAATAATAACAGCTGTATTATACGTATTATCGCACCACAGGAGCCAAACTCCCTTAATGGAAATATCTGACCTGAGTGACCACGCTATTAAAAACATTATTTTTTTGATTTTTATATAAATGTTCCTTTTTTTTAAAATTGTATGAGATAAGTGTTAGATGTGCGTTTATCACGTCCATTTCTTACGCTTCAGCTCCTTTTTAGGAGGCGCTTCCGGTGTCGGTTGTCGCGTCTGATGCATGGTGTTTGCTGGAGGTGTGCCGCTCGGATTCCGATGTGCAACTCACTTTTTTGCGTGAGTTGATGACACAGCTATACAAAAGTTCTGAAACAGTATAATTATATAATATTTTAAGGTGTTGCAACTAGCATGGTTATGGAACCATACATGGACGTTGATGAATTTCGAAATTAACCTTACCAGCTCGTATTTTTAGACTGCATCAGCTGGTTTCGGATGCATGCACTTAAGAACGAAAATTATTCTTCAAGCTGCAGAAAGTACTAGCGCAGTGTGCAACAGGCACACACAATTTATGGCCCAATTTTGCAGTTGTTTCCGTAATCGAAGCACGCAAGCCACAGACCCTGATAAATATATGATGATAAGCAGGAACAGATCGTTTAAAGTCACGGAAATCGAGCACTGTACGTTTCTATAATTATGCACGTACACAACAGTCATTACTGTATTAGTATTATTAGTTCTGTATGTGCTGTGCTACAGAAACCAATAATGGAACGTGAATTGCAAAAGCTGCGAGTGCGCTCTTTCGGCGTGTTGCGTGGTTCATGTGATTGCACACCATTATCGTAACCATTTAACAGGAATTTTGGGTAGACGATAACGACAAAAATACGCAAAATCCTCGTAAACAAAGTTAGACTTGCCGTTAAGAGCAACGCAGATGTACTAACGCACGAATGACTGCCCGCTGCTTACTAATATATGGTTGGAATTTAAGCATTATTTAGAAAGCAGGAAAAACTGTGCCATTTATAATATACATGTAAATCGATAAATTTTTACTTAATCCGCGTTCGTCCACTCAAAAATAGCAGGTTCTTTTAAATGTATTAGTGAGCTGTGGGCTTAGTCCAGTTTCTTGAGCTGCTGAAAGCTTTAAAATTTCTTTTAAAATAATACTAAGGCATAGAAATCACAAAGTAAACCACAGTGTTGCTAATCGAAAGACGTACTCGTACAATATGAAGCGATAATGGTCACGGGTTGCAAGGAGCCCCCTGGCGGTGCTACGCATGTGAAAAAATGTTGTGTACAGAGTACGATCTGTGTCATATTAATTTTATGGCCGAAGCCTAATGCTCTGATTTTTCTGCTTGCCATTTCTGTCGAGGGAGTTGTCGCAGCGCAACTCCACATATCGCGTTAATATTTTGAGAATTTTTAGAGAAATTTTCGTCGGTTTAGAGATGCGATGCGTATGAATGACAGAGGCTTTCCAGCTGGAAATTACCAATAAATGCCTAAGACCTATTACTGTCGTAATAGTACTCAGGGTGCGTTTCAGATTAGAAGCGAATCCAGTTACGATACAGCAACTCCACCTCGCGAGGTGGTTTCGCGTACCGTATCTGTAGGCGTGGCCACTGTACTGATGACTAACCATACACAGTCGGTAAATGGAATGAGCTCTGGACTCCGTGAGTGATCGTACACAAACTAACTCCTACTTCCGCTAGGTACAGACCGTACAGTGAATGTTGTGCCTAACGAAAGTTTCCGAAACCCGAAAACTTACGGTTCCACTACATGACACTAACAGCACTTACAATTGCGAGCGTGATTGACCAACGCAAAATGTTAGCCTGCAGTGGTCCCAAAACAAGTTTAATTGTCTTTTTAAATAGATCAGCATGGACGGTGTGCCGTTAGTGCTGCCGCGGTTCCAGCCGCTCTTGCCGAAGCCAACCAGATGAGCTACCAGAACACGGTGGCAGTCCCCAATGACGATGGCAGTTGCTGGCTGGGATATGGACGGCGACCGGGCCTTCATCCATTTCGATGCCAAAAATGCCACGCCCCGCTGGGTCCACCTGGCACGCGTCTGGACGCTGCCGTTGTACGGAGAACAAGTGGACGCCTCGAGATACGAGCAACTTGCCCTTCTATGGGGCACTGCGGGACGAACACGACGGACCATTTCGCATCCGACAGGTCGCCTGGCCGGGTATGATACGTGGATGTGACATGTGTGAAATATTCTGCGTCTCTTCCGAAGCGACCGCTATCAACTGCGGTTCCTGTGAAGTGGTCCACAACTGCCAAATTACGCGACTACCGCTGCCGGGCTCTCCGTCCTTGCAATATTCCAGCAGCGGTCTGCGGTGCAGCAAGTATGTGGTGTCCTTCCCCCGTGCCGCGCTGCTGCTGCGTGACGCACCCGATAAGTTTCGCATTATCACGCATTTCCGCCAAGTCTACTCACGAAACGCGGAATTCAGCCGCATGTCGGACTGCTGCCGCTTTCACCTGCGCATCGAAAAAGGGGGATGCATGTTTATTGTTGTGGGTCCTCCGATAGATGCACGACAGATGGTTGTGATGCTGACACAAGCCCTGGAGACACACTTGGCCAGCCGGATTCATCTGCCAACGGTTCGTTTTCAAAACCTGCCCGTAACGGGGCATCAGGGTAATACAGACGTAGAACTCAAAACACGCACATGGCGTTGCAGCAAGTTTTATTCAAGTTCAACAAGACATCACTGACTCGAGTAGAAGATCCACGTAAAATCCTTGCAACTAGACACATTAACAGATTATGTCAAACCTGAGTACAACTAAGCGTCCGTGCACGAAAATAAATCAAATTGCATTTGTGCCGGCTTTTCTATTGGTACGAGTACATTATTACTCCATAGAGTGTGTGCATTGTGGCAGCTGCTATTAAGCGGCCCCGGCATGACCGAGCACATCAGTGTCTCCTTGGCAAGCTGCACCGAATTCGATCCGACACTAGCAACTGCTTTCGCATGGCATCGCTCCTGAGCCGCACACTTAGTTCGAGGACCCAAAGTCTCACCGTGCTGGGAGAAATCCCCATTCCCGAACACTCCACCTTATTGGATTACCTGTTCATATTCCTGGAGATTGAACTGCCCTTAATAGTCCTCAGAGGCCGTACCCAGCATGCCGTCCCGGATGGACCGAATGTCGACATAGTGTCGTACTGGCCACATCCGGCCGTAAATCTTGCCACAGATTACCAGGCCCACTGCCGCTCGATCCTCCTCCTTAACTGGACCGTCGACCAACTTTTTGGTGACATCTCGTACCTCATATTTAAGGGTCGCTCGCACACGAATAGCAATACGAGTTCCCTTCCATCACAGGAACAGGGATTCCTGAGGGATTTCAAGAAGCGATCGTATGAACTGCCCGTTGACCAACTGCGCATCACCATCCCGCGGCTGCTGCTGCGCTGCGACGACACGCAACTGGCCAGCCGCTTCATGCGGGCCCTGAACGACAACTTCCCTCCGGTCCCGGCGGACATGCTCGTAAAGGTCACAGCGGTGTATGCCCGCTGGGTGCGCACCTTCAGCTATCCTGACGACTGGCGATCCATTCGCAATTATCTGCTACTGTGAGTAATTTAAACGTCGAACGCATGAATTTTTGTCTTCCTTGTTAGACTGCCATCATGCAGTAGTGGCCTACCCTGGTAGTGGTTGTAGGCGTGCATAAACAAATAAGTACATAAATCGACTAGGCCCAATTAAGGCCCGACAAGGGACTCTTGTGATTTTCCGTTGGGCTGTGCTTGTCTGTCGTGTGATGCGGTGTAGCCGTTTTTTTACTGTTTCCCAGGTTCAGCCCTTTCGAGCCCGACGGCAAACCACAAACGTGGGCCCAGGTCGACCTGCGGCTGGTGAATGTCGGGACATTTAGCAGAATGGCCATCTACGGAATCGACGCGGTATTTGGAGTGTGACACTTGACACTGTGGTGCCTTTTCTGTATCTGCAGTAGCTACATTTTAAATCAGGGTCGTTTGCGCGATTTAAGGGTAAACGTTCTGCTTTGATCTTTGATCCCTAGGAATCTGTACGTGCACTATTACTTTTAGACGATGACTTTGTGGTTGTGGTCAACTTGTGTGTATACTCCACGTTTTCCGTTTATACAATACAATAATTTTAGTGGGTTTGCTTTTTTATCTCGAGTTTTCTTTGATCTGCGGTTTAGTGTGTTCGGTATTCAAACATTCTGACCAGAGCATTTGGTCCTCGCTGATAACTTTAATAAAATCTCACGAAGCTGTACCACACGACGCATACGCATTTTTTTTCACCGAGCCTGTAGATTTTTTAATGATTTCGCGCTTTACTTATTCTTGCCGGATATTGCATACTCAGAACGGCTGTTTTGAGGCCGATTCCGATCACCCAAGTACCAGCAATTCTTTTTTTTAATTTCTTAGGCGGACGACAGACTGAGTGGCTCTGAACGTTAGCAAACTTTATAATTCGATTTACGAAAAGTGACTCGGTGCACTGCTCCAAATTCGTGTACATGCACGGAAACAGTTACTGTACTTCCGCACCCTCCTAAATACTTTTGGCGTTATTTTACAGCATCCTGCAGCCAACTTGTTTGTATTGCCTGAATGATTTTTGATTGTTTATTGAGTAGCCAAGCCGAGTACAATTCCAAACTATCACAATCATATCCTTATTCACGAAGAACATCAAATTTTGCATGCACAGCATCCGGTTGGAGTACCGGTTTAAACACAGTTAAATCATCACTCTTTTTAAAGCTTTCAACTCAACCGGGTCCTTGACTCCAAAATTTCTTCAACGGAACGTGCAGCTGGTCCTCAGTATTAAATTTTGCTCGTTTCAGTGCCGCGAAGGTTTGGTTGGGTGTCGAAAAGAGCGTGCTGGAGCCGATGATCTTTGATGCCGGTGGCCTTCGATGACGCGCCGTTGGCGGCGGGAGTGCGGGGGTGGTGATGTCGCAGTTGACCATCTCTATGAGAAACGAGGACAGCAGGCCGACGGTGGAGAAGAAATATGCCGGTGTCTACTATCTGCAGGCGGACGTGCAGTTAGTATCTGAGAAAAACATCTGCCTGACTGTAAATGCTCTTAATGTGTCTCTTGTCCTTGGTTTTTAATCACAAGTCCACAACAACTTGTCATGGTGTTCAGGTGTTGCATCGGTTAAACGCCAAACATGATCAATAATCAACGTACTGATTATGAAATTTGAGATGACCGTGTCCAGATGTGCGCTAATTAGTCTGTACTTCTCTGGCTTGACTTTACAGATGTAATAGAGCTGTCTCAGACTCTCAGCACACTAACAGTGGACTTCGGAAATGTGGTTACGTTATATGATCACTAATCACAATAAGCGCGCAACCAAGCACTCATCTGCTCTCCAACGTAATCACAATTATAGAAGTCCACTGTACACCGTATCACCTACTCTGCAGAATAGAGCAGCATGGAAGATCTTCGTATAACCTGCACAGCATTAACAGAAGCAGTTGTTCGGTTTGCTCGCCTGAGACTGGCCGGTTGGAGTTCACATTTGGCGTTGCCGTGCTCGTTACTGCTCGATGATCAATCTGTCTAGTGCAGTGCGAACTC